CACTCTGGCGCCGATTGAGATCTACCTCAGTACGTACTTTATTCCAGAGAAAGATGTCTTCTGATGCTCGTCCGAGTTCCCCTTCGCCCTCCGGCGTCGGACGTCGTCGTTGCTCGACGTGTCGAGTCAGGCTCCAGCGCACGGACCAGCACTCCAGCTGCTTCATGTGCCTGGGCCCGGGCCATGCGGCGTTGAGCGCCACCTGCACCTCGTGTCTCGCTCTCCCCAGGGAGGAGAGCGAACGCAGGCGTGCGTACCACGCCGCTGCAGCGCCCCGTCCGGACTCCTCTCAGGACGAGGAGTCTGAGACTGACTGGGCCCCACTCGACCTTCCACCCGTGCCCGCGGAGTGGGGTGACTGTGAGGACGGAGAGGTTTCGGAGGTCGGCTCTCTCCTCACGCTGGACGAGGTGGTGTCGAACCCGGAGCCGGACCGCTTCCCAATGGACCACATGCCTGGGTTCTACTCCTCCGCGGCGGCCATCATGGATGCCCCCCTGCCACCGCAGCCGACCCTGAGGGCGGAGGACTTCACCTCTGGTTACGCCACCACTCGAGGGAGGAGGAGGATACAGCCCACGTTGTGCCCGCGGATGGACCCGCTCGTCCATTACGCGACACATGAGTGGCCAAAGCCCCTAGCGGCCAAGAGGCCCGCTTTGGGTTACGGCATGTATTGCAGCGTGCAGGACTGGTCCTGGACCGGCGGGGTCCCGGACATCGAGGATTCGGTCCGCATGGCCCTGCACCCCTCCGCATCCGTGTGGCCCGGCACAAGACCTCTCATTCCCTCCGAGCGGGACAGGACGTCTTTGGCTATGCTGGACAGATGTTACGCCAATGCGGCACAGGTCGTCGCTGTGGCAAATAACATGGCCTTCATCACGGGGGCCCTGGATAGGTCGCTCTCTTCTGGCCAGGCGCTCAGGGGAGACACCTTATCACAGGCGAGGACCACCTCAGCGGCGATCCTGCGCATGTGCCAGGCGCTAGCTGTGTATGGCGGCCGCACCATGGCAGCAGCTCAAGTCGGGGCCAGGCACCTTTGGCTTGGGCTAGCTAACATCAGGAGGCGGAGAAGAGGCAGCTGCTGGACCTGCCTGTTTCCCAGACGTCCCTCTTCGGTCCGGACATGCAGACCCTGGTGGCTAGACTGGAGACCGCAGCCAAGGACTCGGCTAGCCTAGCCCAACACCTAGCGCCGAGGCGCGAGGCCCGCCCACCAGCACAGAGCCGGGACAGAGGCAGGGAGCGTTCGCCCGGGAGGCGCCCTGGCCCATATCCACGCTCTGTGGCCTATCGTCCCCCCTCGACGAGGCCCCCGGGTCCAGACAGGCCCACGGGTCCAGACAGGCCCACGGGTGGCTCGCGGGACCAACGCACCCACCGCCGACCTCCCTATGGCAGAGGAGGTCGGGGTGGGAAGAATTCTTTCAATAAAGGCCGACCGGCATTTCATCATTACTCGCTGTCTGAGTCTCATTTGGGGGTATGTAACATGTCAAATGATCTTGTGAATTCTGATTGTGTTACTTCTCGAGCACATAACGTTGCTTCGCTAGGCCTGCAGCCCCCAGAGCAGGGTTTGCAGTGCGCTACGCGAGCTACGAGCTCCGGTTCTCTGGTTCATGCTATGCCCTCCCAGAGAGAGGTCAGGCGGAGGGATCTGGTGAGTAGTGGTGTGTGTGCTTCGGCCGAACGCGTGTTAGCATCTCTGAGCTACAAGGCTAACACGGGGTCGCCCACTCCAGGGGCTCGCCCCCCCCTCCATGAGGCAAGAGCCAGGGGGGGGCACAGCAGCCGAGTCACGTGGGATGAGCAGTCCCGTACTTAGTGCGTGGAGGCAGCACTGGAGCCGCTCAGACGCGCAGGGGTAAGAATTTTAACCTACATAGACGACTGGTTAATTCTGGCCTCATCCAGGGAAGTGGCCACACGTGAGCCACACGCACTGGGTCCTGTCCCACATACAGCGTCTGGGCTTTGTGGTGAACAGGGAGAAGAGCAAACTGCAGCCAGCTCAACGCATGATTTATCTCGGCCTGCAGTTAGACTCTGTGACATTCCGTGCTGCATTGTCCGTGGACAGACGGATGAACATTACCCGTCTGGCCCGGGAGGTTCTGGCGGGCCCCAGAGTCCCCGCTCGGCGCCTCAGGTCCCTGCTGGGAATGATGGCGGCGGCTCATGCTGTGGTGCGGCTAGGCCTTCTCCACATGAGGAATTTTCAGAGGTGGTTCTCGCGCCTCAGGCTTCACCCCTCCCGGGACGGGGGGAGGCTGATCTGGGTTCCACAAGTGGCAGCATCGGACATCAGGTTCTGGCTCACTCCGGGTCTATTGCGGGACGGAGTGACTCTGGCCTGCGCCGTGTCTCACGTGGAGGTGTTCACGGACGCGTCGCTCGAAGGATGGGGCCAGAGCTCTGTAGGAGGCTGCTGGTCGGACTCAGCCCGTCACATCAACCTGCTGGAGATGGAGGCAGTGCACAGGGTACTGCTGCACTTTGCTCCTCAGCTGCAGGGGAGACACGTGATGGTTCGCTCAGACAACACCACAGTGGTCTCCTATCTGAACAGGCAGGGGGGCACCAGCTCCCCCGCTCTCCATCGCATGGCGACGGTGACGCTGCTGTGGGCGGCGCTTCACCTCCTGTCTCTCAGGGCGCGCCACGTCCCGGGGGTCCGAAACGTGGGGGCCGACAGGATGTCCAGGGGGGGCCCACTCCAGGACGAGTGGGGCCTGGCCCCATGGGTAGCTGCGGAGATCTGGCGGAGGTTCGGCCGTCCAGTGGTCGACCTTTTCGCCAGTGCAGAAAACGCACAGTGCCCGTCCTGGTTCGCCTTAAGGGCCGCGGACGAGCCGCCCCTAGGCGTGGACGCTCTGGCTCATTACCCCTGGCCAGAGGGCCTGCTGTACGCTTTCCCACCAGTGCGTCTCCTGCCGGTCCTGCTGCGGAGGATCGAACAGGAGAGGAGGTCGGTGATCCTGGTGGCTCCGGACAGTCCGCATGCCCGGTGGTTCCCCTTCCTGAGGGGCATGGCGGTTATGGAGCCCTGGGCCCTCCCGGACGAGCCGGGGGCTCTAGTCCAGGGGGGGGAGCCCTGTTTTCACGCCCAATAATTGGCCGCAGGCTCTGGGTTTGGAGGCTGAGAGGCGGAACCTCGTAGACCTGGGTCTTCCCCCTGCGGTGGTGGAGACCATTCAGGGGGCGAGGGCGCGGTCCACTGTGAGGGCCTACGCCACGAAGTGGAGGCTCTTCAGCGACTGGTGCGTTTCTCGTTCCTGGGACCCCAGGCGTTGCCCGCTGGAGGGGGTCCTGGGATTCCTACAGGAGCTTTTTGACAAAGGGAGGGCTGTCGCCACCTTGGCGGTGTTCGCGGCAGCCATTACCTCGGGTCACGACGGATTCGGGGGGGTCACAGCCCGCTCTCATCCGTTGGTTAAACGTTTTCTGCGGGGGGCGCGCAGGAGGAGGCCCCCGCTCCAGAGAACGCCCCCGGTTTGGGACCTCAGGGTGGTCCTTAGGGGGCTGTCGGGTCCGCCTTTTGAACCGGCGGCGGAGGCGAGTCCCGAGTGTGTCGCTTTTAAGTGTGCTTTTAAGAGTGTGCTTGCTGGCGTTGGCGTCTGCTAAGAGGGCGGGCGACTTTTGTGCGCTCTCTGTCCATGCGTCTTGCCTGTCCTTTGGAGAGGGCGACGGCATGGTGGAATTGTGGCCCAATCCGGCCTTTCTCCCCAAGGTTATCACGTCGGCCTTTAGGTCGAGAGTCATCAGGATTAGGGCTTTCTATCCGCCACCGCATGCCTCCCCCGAGGAGGAGCGGCAGCACCTTCTGTGTCCTGTCAGAATGCTGAGGCATTACCTGGCCATGACGTCGTCATTCAGGTTGGGTGATCAGTTGTTTGTGTGTCTGGGCCCCAAGAACAGGGGCGCCCCGCTGTCGGCTCAGTGGCTGGCGCACTGGGTCGCCACGGCGGTGCGGTGGGCGTATCAGACGCAGGGTCTGGCCCCCCCGGTGGGCTTCAGGTCGCATTTCACGTGTGGGATGGCGGCCTCTACGGCCCTTCTCAGGGGGGCGTCGGTCGAGGACGTCTGCCGTGCGGCTTATTGGGCGTCGTCCTCTTCTTTCGTCCGGTCTTATCTTTTGGATGTGTCGGACCCTTAGCTACGAGCCCATCAGGCCAGCCCGGCTTGGCAGAGTTCAAGAGGGGGTGCGGCCTTGTGCAGGGGCCTTTATAGAGGAGGGTGGCTGGTGATTGGAGCAAATTATTTTGATCTCTCTGGCGTGTGACCTGGGGGTCACGAGTGATATCCCACTAGCGAAGTCCTAAGGGACTACGCACCTATTCGTAGAACTTAAGTTACATTAGGTAACTATTAATTCATAAATATTATAACAGCTTGATTTGTGGCCATACTGAGGAACATATTGTGTATGATTCGTAATGGTGCGTTTATTTTCTTTCTTTCTGTGTCTTTTCACTAGAGTCATTGCTGCAGAAGTCAAGCCCCTGCTCTGAAGTGGGGAAACCATGTAACCCCTGTCTGGACGCTACTAAAGCCTGTAATCTCAACGACACCTGTAAACGACTACGCTCCAGCTACACCACAATCTGCTCCAAGGCCACACCCCCTCAACCCTCTCTGGCCAATCAGGAGCCCTGCAGCCGGAAACGCTGCCAAAAGGTGTGAATGTCTCAAGGTTTCAAAGTGAAGAGAGAATGAACTAATATATATATACTGTATGTATATGTATATATATATATATATATTTATATTATCATCATCATCATTTTCATCCCTTTATTTCCATTTCTGGGTCAGGGGGGTTGCAATCAGAGCTGCCAATATATGTATATAATACATATATTATAATACTATACTATTATACTAATACTATAGAAGTATTTTAGCTCACGACCTTGATGATTTCCCTCTGCTTGCAGGCGCTTGCGTCAGTTTTTTGACGCGAGTGTCATGGGGAGCTAAGCTATCCCCTGCTATTCTGCTCCTGCCGGGACCAGGCCTGTGCAGAGCGGCGCAGACGTACCATCATCCCGGAATGCTCCCACCAGGAGAGGCACAAGCCCAGCTGTCTGGAACTGCAGCAGCTCTGCCGCCTCCGACGCCCTGTGCAGGTAAGAGCCAGTCACACACACACACTTAACTTCGTAGTATTTGCCTGATGAATTAACAGAAGCTATCAAGCCGATGATGAAGTGTATTATTAAAGTAAACATACAACAGGAACCTATAACAGAACCTTTCTATACACAGCACAGAGGACGTAGTTCAATTACAGCACAAAAATAGATTTCCTTTGACAACGACACCTTGTTTGGACAGAGCCAGAGAATTCAAAGGATGTTCACGAGGATTTAGCCTCCATTAACCTCCAGTGGAGAGTGGGAGCAGCGGGATCTGGTGGGGGCAGAGTGTCTGGACGGCCTCAGAGGGCATCTCATCCCTGGCTGTGCAGAAGCAGCACCGGTGCTCAGGGGCCATAATGACTGACACTCCAGTGTAATTAAATGTTCTCTTTGCCACAAGTAAACGTATAATCGCCACTGAGAAGTCTGTAAGGCTCGTGACAAGAGCAAACTTTGTTGTTTTAGATATGTGTATGGACCAAACATGCTTTATTTTAGGTTATACCATTCTCTTTCAACTACCGTAACTACAGCCACAACACAAAACTTTATTAAGTTGAAAGAGAGGGTTAGATTTAACTAGCTGTATCTTTTCAAATTAAATCATCTTTAAAGTAAAATATTTAAATACCAATCTCATTTTGAGGATCTCTTTCAAAGTGCCAAGGCTCCTATTACAATTGGTAAAAGGGGAGGGGCGGGTGGGCAACAATTTTGGTGGTGCGGGGGGCCCTCTCCTGTTCCATTGTTTTTATTTTGGGGGGGACGCGGGGGGGGGAGGGCAGTGGAGTTAAGACGGGGCCTTCATGCTATTTTTCCGTTTAAAATGTTTCTCGGGGCCCCCTTTTTAAATCATGGTTTATGCTGCCTAAAAAGGTCGGTGCCGCACAAACAGGGCACCCTTTATTTTTTTCCTGGTGTAATGTCTTGGTCAAAGGAAATTGCTGAGTGGGGCAATTTTATATACCTGGGGGCATTGGGAACACGTTTCGGGTTCTCAATTTATATCAGGTTGGGGGATTTGGGGGGTTAAGCTGTTAAGTGTGTTGGGGGGCCGTATCAGTCGCAGGGTTCTTTTTTCTGGGGGGCCCCCCCGGGTTTTTGGGGTTTTCCAGGGAGGGGCGGGGCAATTTTCCACGCGTATTTTGGGGGTTGGGGGGACTGGCGCGGCCCTCTTCCGGCCCCCTTTTTTTCTCAGGGGGGGGGCGGGTTACGGGGTCTAAAGGAACGTTCTGACGGGTTGCGGGGGCTTTCTGGGGGCGGGTTCCTTTATCCGGGTAATCCTCTTTCCTCTCCTCTTGGGTCCGGGTCTTTACTCTTTGTGGTATGAGTCGGGACCGGTTTCAGGGTAGGTCCCCAATTCCGTGTTAGGCCCTGGGAGAGCACGCGGGGGGGGACTTTGCAGGTTTAATTTTTAAGGGGGGACCGGTTTTGGTAGGTTCCCCCCCCCTCTTGGGGGGAGGGGGGGGGGGGGCGCCTTCGGGTTTCTTTCCGCCCTGGTCAGGAGCCTCTTGGGGAGAGGGATCTCACAGGTGCGGGGGTTTAATACTTATTGAGTTTTTAGGGGGTCGGGGTTTGGTCGTCCACGTTCCAGGGGGACCGGGGCTTCTTGGGAGGGGGGGGAATGAAGGGGGGCGGGTTAAATTTTTTTTCCCTTTTTGTTTTTTTTTCCTGGGGGGTGGGGGGGGGGGTGGGGGGGGACCACTTTAACGGGGTTTGGTGGGGGGGGGAAACCTCACGGGGATCAGGGTAGTTTTTTTAACGGGGGGTAGGGGGGGCCATCCCCTTGGGGGTAGGGAGTTAGGTGGGGGCCCTGGTAAAAAAAACCCCACGGGGGCTTGGGTTTTTTTTCTTTTTCTGCCCTGGAGTCTTTCACTGTGTGAGGGGGTCTTGGCTCAGGGGGCGGGGGGGCAGCCTCCAATTCCACCCTTCGGGGCCTGGGGTCCTTTTTTAGTGGGCGACAGGTAATTTGTTTCCCTTAACGGGGGGCCCTCCGCCCTTTGTTTGGGGTTTCCCCCACTCGCGACGGTCCGCTAAGGGGGACGTTAAGGTGGCCACCCAATGACGGAAGGGGCAATTACAAATTTAAGTATTACCTAAACATGGTCCCTTAAGTTTTTATACGAAAGGTGCGTAGTCCCTTAGCTACGAGCCCATCAGGGCCCAGCCCGGCTTGGCAGGGGGTGCCCCGGCGGGGAGGGTATTCAAGGGCAGGGGGGGGGGATGGCCGGGGGCCGGGGCCATATTGTTGGGTGGCACAGGGGTCATGGCAAAACCTTGCATTATATTTTAAGAAGGGGGGGGAAGGGGGTTGGGGGGGGGGGGGGCTAGGGTGAATATGGGGGCAGGGGGGCCAAAAAATATTTGTTCTCTCTGGCGTATGTGGGGTACCCCTGGGGGGTACCCACGAACGGTTTGATAATTTCCCCACTAGCGACAGTCCTTAAGGGGACTCGGCCAAAACCCTAATATTGTCAGGGACCTTTTCACACAGTTCCCTTTTTAACGGTACAAACTATTTACTACATTAACACCCAAAGTTTAAAAAAAAAAAAAAAAAACAAGGTTTTTCTTTCCTGATTGAAAAAAAAAAAAAACACGCAAACCTCTCGAAACAAAGTTTAAAACACACGTGTTTAAAAAAAAAAGGTAAAAGTTTAAACCCTTTTCTTTTAATTTTTATTAATCGTTTTAACTTAAACAAATTATTTTATTTATAATTATCATTATTAATTCTTATTAATACATGTATTCTTACCGCCCTTTCCAACAGAAAACAGAGTCACAATATAAGCGGATTACAATTGTTCTTGTTATGGGGGGGGGCATTTTTTGGTCTTACCCTCCCACCTACCACAAACGAGGGGGCAGTGATGGGTGGGGGGCTGTGCGGGGGGTCGGGGGCCCGTAACACCCCAAGGAATTTTTTTAACCCAACGCGGCCGTTTTGAAAAAACAAAACATAATACCAAACCACCACATTGGGGAGCATCAATTTCTGTGTCCAAAGGGGAGTAAGCTCCTTTTGTATTGACTAGAATAGAATACAGGAAATACCATATTTTACCTTTAATTTTTATTTTTGGAACAGGGGGGGGCCGTTACAACCAAAAAAAAAAAACTTATATTAACACATTTTTCTGCGGCCCAGGCCAGGAGAGGGCTCTTCCCACGGTTTCCCAGATCAGGACCCTTAAATTCGGGGGATAACCAAAAAAACAACATCAATAACCTACACACCTTATCCAATACTTTTGGGTTTACCTATTTTGTTTCCTATTTTCCAAAGATTTGACCTGACACCTGTAACATCAACACAACTATTCACCCATCCTTTCTTTAGTTGTACTTTTTTCATTTCAACCAAAGGAGATATGGACAACACGCCTGGCGCTTGGTTTCATAAAAAATTAAAAACACTAATTTTATCCCATTAAAAACCTTTTTTTTCCCCAACCTTAGGGGGGAGGAAAACAAAGATTATAATTTAAATTGCTTAAACTTATTTACCTTGGCATGTTTATATTACCCCCTCACCAACCACGGGGGGTGCACTTCGGGGCACTCCAAATTTCTTTAATCAAGAAATCTTTGGCGGTCTGGCCTTCCCCCTTATACAGTACCTATACCGTCACAGGACCCCAAAAGTATGGGGGACACCACCTTCTTCTTCATTCAACGTTTTTTGTTATTTTTTCCCCTGGGGGGGGGGGGGGACTAAAGGGGGGGGTGGGGGGGGGTGGGGGGGGACAATCTTAGGATATTCCACCCCCCAACTGAACTAAAAGGCACTCCAAACAAAAAAAAAACTATGAAATTAAAGATCAATGTTGGAATATGTAGTACAAAAAACAAAAAACAAAACAGGTCATGAATATAAAACTTGAAAAAAATAATGTCTTCTTTATTCTGGGTTTTCTTTATCAAACAAGGTAACGGGCCACTTTTTTGCTTCTCATTTTTTTTTTACTTTGGGGGGTCTTTTTTAATCCCACCTTTTCCACCTTTTCTTTTGGAGGACAATTTTTCTTTTGCTAGCCGCTTTTCCAAACCAGGAGGTAAAATGGTAAAGGTTTGGAAAATGGGTTTCTTTCAACTTTTCCAGGGTGCTTGGGAAGGAGTTCACAGAGGATGCTTAGCCACATGGGCAACCAAGTGCTCCAAGTGCTTACAAGTGGGTCCAGCTCACCCCAAAACCATCTGGAATTGGGGTTTAGGGGTCCAGTGACTGTGGGAGGGTGGTTATCCTCTGGCCCAGCACCCCACCACTCTCCTAATTGGTCACATTAGCCTCTTTACCACAGTCTGTGTTTGTGAATCTCCAACAAAGGTTTTTCAATTAAGTCCTTGGGAAAAGGAAACAAGGGGGAAGAAACATTTCATTTGGAAAATGGAGGAAAAAAAAGGGGTTGGTTTTTTCAAATTTTTGGTCTGTACTGTTATTTACTTTTGCTTAGTGCTTTATGGATCACTGTGTGCCACCTTTTCCTAGCTGACCCCCATGTGAGGTGGGTGGAGACAAACTACATATGACCTCCCTTGTAACTGGGGAATGCTCTGAAAATAGTCCATGGTGGTTTTTACAAAAATATGCTCATTTTGCCCTGGGGAAAAAGCCTCATTATCATTTAGTCCCGCTAAAACAACCACTTGTTTCACAGCCTGTAACTAGATTACAGGCACACACAAATGGGGGGCCTTTTTTTTCGGGGGGTAACACAGGGGGCTTTTTTATTGGTGGCTTTGGGGGGGGGGGGCGGTATTATCCTTAAAACCCCAGGGGTTTCTATGCTTTTCCCTTCTGGGGGGTTTCGGGGAGTTATTTTATATTTTTGTATGATTGATTGGGCCGATTACAGGGCGGGTCTGTTAAAGGGAGGTGTTCAAAAACTAAAAAGGGGGAAAGTGGGGGGGGACCAAAAGTTTGGGGTTTGAAATGAGGGAATTTCCCAGGACACTCCCCTTTCAAAACCAACATCAACACTTAATGGGCAAATTGTGGTTTATTCCAAATTTTGGGGCCCCCGTCTGGAAAAAAAATGTGTGAATTTTCTTTGGTTATGGGGCTTATCTCTTGAATTTCTTGTGTTTTTTGGCGGACAATTTTCAACCCCAGGTCCCTTGGGTTTAGGGCCCTACAGGTACAAGAACATTAAACCATTTTAAATTACACATTTGAAAAAATTGGGAGTGGTTTTTTGAAGGGGTTTGGCAGGTTTTTATTCTTGGGTTGGTTTAACTTTGGGGGGGAATGTGGCTATTTTAAAACAAAATGGGGGGAAAAATACAAAGGTCTTTTACCTGCGTGCCCTTGTAGGTCTGGGACCAAGCCCGTGCGGCATCAAACATTTTTTT